CTCTCGGCCTCCTCCTCCGTCACCTCCTTCCGCCTGAGTAGGTTGGTGGTGGTCCCCCCAGCGGTGCCCCGGGCCGCACGGTCAGTGCTGAAGTTCTTGTGGGGCTTCCGGAAGCTGCTACCCTCACTGCCCTCGTTGGTGGCTGCCTTGATGATGTTGCTAATCGGAAGAGAAACCCCGTCTCACTGCCCCAGGAGCGCTCTGCCCAGGCGCCGGTGGAGCCCCAGCCGCCCTGGGCTCTGAGCAGCCGGAGGTCTGGGCACGGCAGGAAGCTTGCCCTCCTCCTCTACTTGGCCAGTCCCTGGGGACACCTGTACTAGGACAGACCCATCAGCCCGCGCCCGAGTAAATGGGCGTCACGTTCATTTTTTAAGTGGTATTGGGACTGAACGCAGGGGTACTGTATCACCGGGCCACATCCAGGGTTCTGGGTTTTTTTAAGTATTTTTTTAGTTGTAGTTGGACACAACTTTATGTTATTTATTTTTATGTGGTGCCCAGGATTGAACCCAGTGCCTCACATATGCTAGGCAAGCACTCCACCTCTGAGCCACAACCCCAGCCCCAGGCTTCTATTTTTTATTATACAGACAAGGTCTTACTAAATTGCTTAGGGCCTCCATAAATTGCCCAGGCTGGCCTCAAACCTGTGATCCTCTTGCCTCAGCCTCCAAAGTAGCTGAGATTATAGGCATCTGGGATTACAGGCATGTACCATTGGGCCAGATACTCTTTACATTTACAAAAGTAAGAAGCTCTCAGAAGCAGCGGGAGTCCACAGCTAGGTGGCTCAGGAAAGCTGGAGAGCCAGCAGCTCAGCACAGGGGCTCCCCTGCTTCTTTCAGTCACCCCACGGCAACACCCTTTCAGTTCTGGACATGGCCAGCAGCTTCCTCGGGAGGGCCCCGCCCGGTGTGAGTCCCTGGGAAGTGGGCCTGGCCCTGGATGGGACTGGGTGACAGCACTGAGGGTGAGGGACCTGCTGCTCGTGCACCGCGTGCCCTGCTGAGCAGACCCCGCCCGGGCCTGGCGCCTCCCGGGCCGGTGCAGCCTTACTTGAGAGCGGGGGCTGTCTGGTTGGAGCTCTTGAGTGGGGGCGCCCGCTCCACGGGGGCGTAGTGGTTGTGCACCATGCTGGTGACGCAGTTGCCCACGGCTCCCTTGCTGCTCCTGCCAGAGAGGGAGGTGCATGAGTGTGGGGGCAGGCGGCTGGGACCGCCAGCAGGGGTACGGGTGTCGAGGGCTGCCAGGGCTTGCTGTGGCACCGTCAGGAGTCTCCAGGGCCCCATGTCCGGCACCTAGTGGAGAAGCCCTTCCTGTCTCTCAGGGAGAGAGCTGTGTCCCCAGGCCCCAGGAGGCCGAGGCTGGGGCTGGCCTGCTGCTCCCTCCGGGGCTTCTCCGCACCCTCCTACCACCCTGACCATGGCCTGCGGACGTGCTCTGGTCCTTCAGGTCCCCAGAGTGTGACCTTAGAGTGAACACTGCATCCCTGACAAGGCAGGCCACTTTGGGCCTGAAGGCCATATGGTCCCCACCACCAGAGACACACCCGGAGCCTCCAAGTCCAACCTCCAGGGAACCCTGGAGGGGCAGGAGCTCCCTGCGGGACATGGCGGCTACAGCCTGCGGGACAAGCACAAGCCCCCGTTTAAGCCGTGGTCAACAGCGCCCCCGACCCCACCTTGCAGCCTCTGCCCTCGAGCAAGAAAGCCATTCATTCCAACGGAGCCAGATCCCGCCACCAACGCTGCAGAGGTGGTACCTGTTATTGGCTGTGAAGCTGGGTGCCAGGGCACACTCCCTCCTCCGTGGGCCCCCTGGGGAGTTGAGGGTGCTGGGACTCTGGGCACTGGCCGGCGAACCAAAGCCCCTGGGCTGATCGTCCTAGGGGCACACAGGACAGCCTCGAGGCCCTACCCCAGGGCCCTTGCCCTCCCAACATTGCCACACCCACAAATGGAGGTGCCCAAGTGCCCAGGGTGTACGGATCACAGTCTGCTGACCAAGACAAAGGCAAAAGGACACAAGGAGCAGATGGCAGTCCTGTGGCAGGACCAAGACCCACGCCGCCTCAGCCCGCCTCACCAGGACGTTCCAGGTGGCTCCCTTCCCACTGCATGGCTTGGGCAGGCTGGCCAGCCTCCCTCTCCCACCAGGATCTCCCTCGAACAGCGCCAGGAAGTCAGTGGGCTCCGCAGGCCTGGGTCACAAGAGGATGGCACATGAGGACAAGGTCAGCCAGCCAGGTGGCCAGCCCCAGGAAGACAGGGCCACATCTCACAAGAGGACAGAGGGGGCCGTGCTGCCAGTGAGAGCTTCTGCTCCCAAAGCCGGCTCCTTCGCCCTCCTTCCCCAGCACCAGAAAAACAAGTAAAAAGAAAAGAAGAAGAAATAAAAAGTGCAGCCAGTATCCCAGCTGCTCTGCGCCACAGTCCTGGGCTCTGAAATTGCCTCTGGTGGACACACAATGCCAACCCCTGAGGCCACCAACCCTGGGCGGGCAGCACTGTCCCGTTCCTCAGGGGAGGTGACCCCGGGGCTGGCCCAAAACTTATCAGTCTACACATCTGCAGCCCTAGCTGGCATCTGCCCTCTTGCAGACAAGACATGTGGGAGGAGGTGTCGGCCTAGGCCCTGGTCCTGAGGGTCTGCTGGCTGCTGGCCCTGGGCATCCCTCCCACTGGAGTGGCGCCATCAGGGCAGCAGCTGTTTAACTGGTGGAGACGGCACAGGCTCACAGGAGGATGGGGAAGTGCCGGGTGCCGGTGCCTCTACACCCAGGCCTGACCCCAGGGGAAGGTGGAAGAGGCTGGGACAAAGACTTGTGGGGCGCAGGCCTGTGAGGTCCCACCACCTGCCACCAAGCCCAGCCACAGAAGCAGAGGACGCAGGTGGAGATGTGCCTGGAGGACCCCGCCTGCAGGGGCCCTGCCAATGAGACAAGACTGTCCCCTGTTGGTGGCCTCCCCACCCAGCCCCTGGCTAGAGGTGGACATGCATGGAGCTCGCCCCAGGCCCCAGGCCTTAAAGGGGCACAGATGGAGCTGACAAAGGGCTGAGGCAGAAGAGGACAGGGACTACCTGGGGGCTGGGCTACCAGAGGGCTCTGGGAGAAGCTGGGGTGATGAGGCCACCCGATGGGCTGGGGTTACCTGGGGCAGCTGGTCCACGGCTGGTTGACCTGTGTGGTGCTGTTAGATCTTCGAAGGTTGTTGATGGCCCGGGAACCCCCAGGCCCTGTGGCCTCCTGCAAAGAGGGAGAGAAAGCCACTCAATGGCCGAAGTCTCCGACCCTTGTCAGCCTGCTCAGCACAGGCAAGCCCTGGAGGGACAGATGAAAGGCACGCTGGGTTTAGGGACGGACTGGGACACAAGTGGCCCAGGAGCAGGTAGGCAGGACGGGGCAGTGTGGGGGCTGGGCAGGGCCGACCTCCTAGAGCCTGGACTTCCTGCACAGGTGGGGAGGGTCGTGGCCGGGCAGCAGGCTGGCTGTGAGCCGTCTCCTGTCGGGGAGCACAGCCAGGCGGCTCTGGGTTGCTGTGGGGTGAGAGGAGATGGGGGCACCGGTGGGCAGCAAGCCCTCAGGGAGTCTGGGTCAGAGGGCAGTCTGCACAGTCCCGGGCAGGAGGCTGTTGGGGAGGAGAGTGCCGCGAGGGCATGTGGAGCCCCGAGGCCAGGCTGAGGGAGGCACCGTGGGTGGCCTCTGGGCCACTGGTGGGCCTGGCTCCCTGGGAGAGGCAGGTGGGGAAGGGTCAGTGGAACAAGGCTGGCCTGGGGCTGCCTTCCAGCTTCCCGCAGGCTTAAGATCTTCCAAATCAAGCACTCTGGGGGAAGGTCCTGAGTGAGAAACAGCGGGGGACCCTCCCCACCCCACACACTGCTCACATCACCAGTGAGATTCAACCTGACGCCAACGGGGGTCCACCCCAACAGTGAGCCCCCAGACCGGAAAACAGACACAGAATTTCAGGTTTTAAAATCCGAATCCTTAAGCTAAAAACACCCCCCACACAGAAGACAAAAAACAAAACCAAGGGACCCGTCACATGCGGGAAGCCTCGAGGCAGACGATTCTCCCTGGTGTCTCCCCAGCTAGCAGTCGCTTTCTGAAGCAGCGGACAGCGGCCAGAGCGGCCACAGCAGAGACACAGGGCTCTGACTACCTTCCCTGCAGAGGACGCACACTCCCCCCGGGCTGTGGGCGGCGACCCTCACGGCTGTTAGGGTCGGTCCAGAGGCAGCTGCCAAGTCTGGCAGGTCAGTGATGTGCCCAGGGCTACTCCTGTGGCGGTCCCAGCTGGACCACACTAGGGGCCCAGGCCCACACTGGGAAAGGCTCCCGAGGACAGGGCTGTGGCAAGGGCACCAAGCGTGCACCCAGCACCCAGGACCCTGCGAAGGGAGCTGAGCAACGGCTGAAACTGGGGCAATGGACCCAGAGAGGCCACTGCTCTTCTGGGCAGACCCAGGAATGTCTGCCTGGCCCTGGCACTGTGCCTATCAGACATGGGCAGAGGGCACCCCCCGCCTCCTCGGGGAGGCTGGCTGAGGTGGGCCACGCCTGCTCAGGGAGAGGGGCCACGGAGGCCTGCACCTCACCAGAGCAAGCCCCAGACTCTGCCCTCAGCGTCTCGGGGGTGACCTCGAAGTCCCCAGAATTTCCTACCTGATCAAAATGCCAGTTCACCTGGGACCCTGGGCCAGCCTCAAGTCCAACAGTGTGGTTTACAGAGGGGATTTCAACAACACCCAGAAGGTGAGGTGGGATGGGGGTGTGGGCCACATAGCCACTCCACCTGGAGGGGCTGGAGGCTGAGGTGGGCCAGTGTGTGCCCACCGCACCTCTGCATGGAGCTGGGCAAAGCAGAACACACAAGATGAGGCCAGAGCAGTTTGTTGGGCCAGAAAGGAAGAAAGCAAGTGCTCAAAACCAAAAGGTGAGCGCAAGACTCCCGGGGCCAAGGCTGCAGCCGGCAGATCAGCAAGCAGGGGTACAAGAGCAGCACGCGCTGCGGAGCCTTCTCACCGTGAGGCACAGCGAGAAGCCACTGGTCACAAACCCCAAAGAACCTGTGGAGACATTCTGGCTGGAGCAGGGCCCACGGGTCCCCAAGCGTGGGCCACATGGGTAAGAGCCCTCCAGAGAGCAAGTAAGAAAGGGAACCTCATGCCATGAAAGGGCTGTCAGCTCTGTGGTCCTCCAAATCTGCCTACCCATGAGAACGTCCCGCAGACCACCTCAAGTCATGGAGGAGGGGCTGAGCCTCGGCCGTAGGGGGCCGAGGGGGCCCAATGCCATGTGGGATCCTGGAGCAAAATAAAGACGTCAGGCCAGACACTGTCATCCCAGCGGCTCAGGAGGCAGAGACAGGAGGACTGCAAGTTCAAAGCCAGCCTCAGCAACAGCGAGGCACTAAGCAACTCAGTGAGACTCTGTCTCTAAATAAAATACAAAATAGGGCTGGGATGTGGCTCACTGGGCAAGTGCCCCTGAGTTCAATCCCCTGTACCCCGCCCCCCAAAAAAAGATGTCAGGCAAAAATTGGGCATGTGACAACTGGGCTTCAGCCATTGACAAGGTCATGGCCTGGGCCAACATCCCACACTAGTGCCGCAAGAACACAACCCACAGCTCGTGTGGGTAGTCTTGGTTTCCATCTGAAGCTGTAAGGATGCAGCCTGCAGCTCATGCTCACCCGATTTCACACAGGGAAATCAATGCCTCTGACTCCGCAGACACAGATGTGGACTGCCACGCCGGCAGCTCGGGGGAAGAAACAAGGGGCAAAGTGTGCCGTGAGAGGCTGTGTCCAGCACAGAACCTGGCCCTCGGCCTGTAGTGGACCAATCCAGCCCTTCCCCTCTGCTGCCCTGATTCTAGAATCAGTCAATCACACAGGCCGTGACCCCCAAGCTCCTTCAAGCAGAGTGAAGGGCAGCTACGTCAGGGTCCAGGTACATGCAGTGGCCTGCTAGCCTAGCTCCCTGGAAGCCCTTCAGCAGAAGTAAAGGCTGGCCCTGCCACCCACTCCACACACGTGATTGAGTTCTTGTGGCATCTCATTGTTTCTAACGTGTGAATTCTCAGGTAGACTTTTCTCATTGCCAAACATCTATTTGAATTTGAAAGTATTTATGTTTTATTAAGGCATGTAATAAATTATTCTTTGAAACTTGTTGGATTGAACAAGATTCAAAGCCATGTGGTAAAAGATGGCATACTGATTGCAAAATAAGCAAAAATAACATTGTATTTTTTTTTGATACCGAGAATTGAACTTAGGGGCACTCGACTACTGAACCAGATCCCTAGCCCCTTCTTGTGTTTTATTTAGAGACAGGATCTCATTGAATTGGTTAGGGCCTCACTAAATTGCTGAGGCTGGCCTTGAACTCTTGATCCTCCTGCCTCAACCTCCTGAGCTGCTGGGATTACAGGCACCACCACGGCACCTGGCTGCATCTTTCTAATACAATTTTCTAACAATGTAATAAAACACTAAACTTACATGTCCATGTCCCGTTAAAACCACGTTCCATTAGAAGTGTTCCATACATTTTCATAGAATGTAATTTACATTTTTTTCCTAATGTGCTTATCTAAATGAAGCAAAGCTACAAATATAGACCTTAAACTTCCCTACAACTGCTAAAAAACAGCACCATCAGTTCTCTTTCTGTGCATACCAAATTAGTGAAGACCAACAGCTGTGGGCATCTTGTGTGTCACCATCCATCAGTGGCACTCTCCTTGCGGTGAGGTGAGTGTGAATGGGGACAATGAGCTTCTTTTGGAGGCACCCAGGGCCCCCACTGAGCCACACCAGCCGGAAGCACTTGGCAATACCAATACCGCGTGCTCTGACCCAGTGGTTCCACCTTTAAGATTTACTCCACAAGATCACGTATGTATTGGCAAACACAGGCCCGAAGACACTCGCGGTGGCACTGTTTGCTGCCAGCCGACCTGCAGCCCCACAAGAGGACCTCCTGCCCTGCTGTTAGAGAGAGCAACGGCTGCGCACAGCCACTCGGGGTTCTACAAGACACAGCCCGCGCAGGCCCACGTGTGTCTGTGTACCGGAGCAGCAAGACCCGCAGCACCAAACACCGCAGCACCACACAGCCACCCTGACATGTTGCCCGGGGAGGTGACAGGCAGGTCTGCTGCTTGATGGGCCCCCTTCTGGTGTCTCTGCATTTTAAACCGTGTGCATGTGACCATTCAGAATAGCACACACAGAATTTTTTTAAATATATATTTTTTAGTTGTAGATGGACACAATACCTTTATTTTATTTATCTTTGTGAAGTGCTTAGCATCGAACCCGGGGCCTCACACAGGCTAGGCAAGCACTCCACCACTGAGCTACAGCCCCAGTCCCATAGGTAGAATTTTAAAACAATCAAACAAAGCGGCAGCACGGTGGCACCAGGTGACGGATATGGACAGCTTCGTCTGTCTGTCCTGGGTCTTCCTGGCAGCGGTTTCCCACCTCCTTGCTGAGGCTGATGTCAAGAAGGGAGGAGGGTCTTGTGCTCACTGAAGGCGCCAAGGTGGAAAGGGTGTGCTCGGAAGGTACACAAAGTCACAAGCCAGGAGCCCCTCCCTCCAACTGCAGAGTGGTCTGGCACTGACGTCACCTGAGCCACAAGACCACCAGTGACTACAGCTCATGTCCCGGACAATCGCGGGACAGAGGGCCCTGGAGAGAGGGAAGTCTTTGGAGACAAAGGCGATATGGAAATACCAGGAGGATGGTCAGCAAAATGGCCCCCAGCCAGGGGCTACTCCAGCCCCACAGAGAACAGGAGAAAGAGAGTCATCAGCCCCATGTCAGGCATGGAGCCATGGCCTGCAAGTGCTCCCCACAAACCCCAAGACACCTGTGGCAGCAAGGTGGCCAAGAGGACAGGCACTACCAGAGCCACTCCTCGCTGGGTGGTGGCTTTCACCCACATCTGACCCCTGCCAGGGATACCAGGGAGCAAGCTATGATCATAAATGTAGGAAAAATGTTGGACACTCTGCCAAGAAGAGGACTCGCGAGCTCCACCCTCAACACGGGGGCAGGCAATGGGGCAGCTGGGAAGACGCCTGGACAGGACCCGTGCTGGCCTTGTCTTTAAACCTAGCTTCAGGAACAGAATGCCCTCAAGTGGAGAGGTGGGAGAGGGTGGTAGGTGCCCAGGTCAGCCACAGGTGCAGCCAACCACAGCTGGGCACTAGCAAGCCAGCAACTCCACACCACTGGGCCACAGTGTGTCACCGCATCAGCCCTGCCCCATGCCCCCTTCTAGGCCTCCTGGGGCAGTGGGAGGGAGCTGGACAGGAGGCAGGATCCAGTGACTCAGGAGCAAGGTGGAGCTGCAGAGGGCAGCAGGTATCAGTGACACACTAACCCAAGTTGGCCATCACTCCGCTGAAGCAGCACACTGTATCTTAAACCTGTGGCCACCACAAGTGCCCTGGTAGAACGTCCCAGGTCCCCATCACAAGGGTCCTGGGCTTTGGGAACTTGTTTGGATGGAAGGTCCTCTACTAGACTGTTGTCCTCACCTCAGAACTTCGCTTTCATGAAAGCCGGAGTGACCTTTTTAGGGAGAAGGGCGGGAAGAACCCAAGGGCACTTAACCACTGAGCTACATCCCCAGCCTTTATATTTTATTTAGAGACAGGGTTTCACTGAGTTGCTGAGGGCCTCACTAAGTTTCTAGGGCTGGCTCTGAACTCATGATCCCCCTGCCTCAGCCTCCTGAGCCACTGGGATTACAGGCGTGGCCACCCGCCCAGCTGGAGCAAGGCTTTTATCCACAGGGGAACCACCACCCCAACCCATGAGGCTACTCTCTACCCTGCCAGGATCCCCACCAGGACTAGACTGTCTGAGCCCCAGATGGTCTGGGCATCTAAGCCAAGCTCCCAGGCCCCTCTGTGGGGCACTGCCCTGAGTCCAAATCCTAGCCCCTCAGCCACCCTGATGTGTGGGTGACAGCCTCATTCCCTGCCCCAGCACAGGTGCAGGAGGAGCACCCCTGCCCAGTACACTGGAGCCCATCCAGGGTTCTCCGGGGTCACAGGAGCATGGCACCCTCCCCACAGGTCAACCTTGTTGATTAAGATTCCAAGCAAATCCAAGGGCAGCAGAGCAGGAGGGACAGGGCCTGGTGCTAGGATGTGGGCTCTGCCTCAGGCCAGTTGGCCACTGTGTCCTCCTGTGGGTCAGCTCCCAGGTGTGCACGGCCTGGACCATGCCTGCTTGGAAATGGCCAAGAACTGCACAGAACTGCCCTGGGGCCAGATGCCACCCATGACAACAGGACCCAGGGCCCCACGCTGCACTCACCAGAGCCCTCCTCCTCATTGTGCCGCCTGTGGCCACAGAGATGGAGCGGGTGACGGGCTTGGCTGTAGAGGCACTGCTAGGACGCCGGGACATGGGCAGAGGGAGGCCAGTCAGACTCAGGTCCACACCTTCCGGGCTGCCCTCAGGGGTACCACTAGTGACCCGTGAGCCTTTCATGGTGGACATGACAGACCTTAAGAGGGAAACAAGAGATATAGTGAGACACCCGAAAAAACTGCAAACACCACGTGCAGCAGAGTCTTGCCAGCTCAGAACACCTGGGTCCACCTGCCACCAAACCCTCCAGGGACCTGCCACCCTCCTCACTGGCAGGTGAGCCCCTCAACAGGAATACAAGGGGGCTGTTCTAAACCCCATGCCCGTACAGGGCTGAGCAGGTGCCTCTGGGTGATAGGCAGGTGGGCAGCATATTACTGCAAGAAAGTGGCTCAGACAAGTGGAGTGCCTTGCTCAAGATCATGGTGCTGGTAGTAAGTGGCAGAGCTCTACCATTTACTATCATTTACTACCAGCACCATGATCCTGAGCTAGGCACTCCACTTGTCTGAGCCACTTTCTTCAGTGAAATGGGAATTTTAGAAGTGCCTCTGCGTGGGCACCACAAGGTGTGACCTGAAGCTAGCATAGGGTGTGCACTCAACAACCCAAGTTACTCCAGCAGGATTTGGTCTTGAAAGTCCTAGGACAATAAGCTCAGGGTCCCCAAGTTCTAGCCAAGACCCCCTCAGAGCCCCTGGGCACTCCCTGAACTCTTGGATGAGGCAGCTGCTCTTGTGCTTTCGGGGCACCCTGCCACCCCTTTTCATGTAGGCTGCTCTTAGTCTCCTCTGAGTTGGAAGCCCCCAGGGCTCAGCCCCAGCTTCTCTTTCCCATCCACCCTCTTGCCTGGGAACCACCTCTGGCCTCTTGGCTCCCTCCACATCAGTTTCAGAACACTCCCAGCTGGCATTATATCCTGGTGGGAACAGTTTTCCAGGCACAGAGAATCAAACACCCCAGATCTGACCCTGCTCCCTGACACACCCCCACCCCCGCCCACTCTCATGCTCAGCTGGCCCATCCCAGCATCTCTGCACCTGCTGGCCCTTCTGCCTACCTGACCTTGTCTACCACCCCAACCCTCTTCTTTCCCATGTCCTGCTTCCTCTTCAAACACCACACAAGATTGTTTTCTGAATTGGGTGACTCTCTTGAGAGGACAGGAACCTTGTAGGCACAGTACCTGACACACAGAAAGGGCTCAAGTGGTGAGTGCTGAGGGAATGAGAACCCAAATGTTACATGTGATCACAGTCCCTGTCACTGCATCCGGTGTGCCAAGGGCACAGAGCTATTGTGGGTCAGTGCTGCCTGGGTGCTACCCCACAGTTGGCCAGCCCCAGTCTGGGAGCCGGTCCCCCGTTTTCTAGCGGCAGACCTGCCACTGGCCTGGTCAGTGGCCTCAGCTCTGCGTTTCCTGCTTGCCGGTGAAATTTAACACCCCCCCTCTCCTCGGCACTGGCCACGCCCAGCTGGACACAGCGGACCCTGCTGTCCCAGCCACACGTGCAGCCAGCGAGGCTCCCGGGGTAAACACAGCCTCTCCATGGAAACCTCCGGCAGGATGAAGGGAGGCCTGGGAGGCCAACCGCACCCCGGGTGGAAAGGTGTTCCTCGCGGGGCCTGAGGGGTCAGGTCCAGCGTCCCGCCTGGCCCCGGTCCGGGGGGGGGGACGCGGGGACGCGGGGACGCGCAGGGGTAGGGCCCTGGCGCAGTGCGGCGCCCTCCGCTTCTCCCCGGGCCGCTCCCGTCTCCCGGGTTCCCCTGGGCATCAGGCGGGGTCCTGAGACCCCCGGCCGTACTCCACGTCGCCCTCTGGGGAGGGCGGGAGAGGGCCGCCCGGGGGCACCAGTCCAGTCTCACCTGCAGGGCGAGACTCACCTGCGCGGACACCCCTCACCTGCGCGAGCTGGGCCTGGGGCGCGGGGCCCGCGGACTCGGCCGGGCGGGCGACCCGGCGCCCCGCGGTCCCCAGCGGTGCCCCCGGGCGGGTGACAATGAAGCGCCGTGAGGGCGGGCGAGGGGCCGCGGCTAGCAACCACTCGGGCACCGCCTCCCCTCCCCGTCACCCGGCCCGCCTTTCCTGCCAGCGTCGCTTTCGGATTGGTCTTCTGGCCTCCCGCTTTGGAATTCTCGGGACCTCATTGGACCACTGGGCTGTCCTTCGGGAGGTTCCAGCGTGGGAGGAGCGGCGGAGAGCTGGGGGCCCGCGACGGCGGCGGGCTGCCGATTGGATAAGGCCGGAAGAGGGCGGAGCTTCTGGGGCGGGGCCAACGCGTGGGCGGAGCGGTCGGAACCAACGCGCCTCTTGATCCCACCCCGGACCCGGCTCCGTCCCCGGTGCACGGAAGGCGAGCGTTAGGCCGGGAGTGCGTCCCGGTGCTGCGTGGTCAGAGCCCTCGCCCCGCTCTGGCTCTCCTGACTCTGCCCAGGGAACCCTGGACATACAGATCGGATGCCCTCTTCAACAAAAGTTGTATTACAGTAACAACATAGTGCTGGCCTCTCCATGTACCTTTTATATTAATATATATATATATATATATATAATTTTTTTTTTGGTACCAGGGACTGAACTCAGGGGCACTTGCCCACTGAGCCCCATCCCAGCCCTATGTTGTATTTTATGTAGAGACAGGGTCTCACTGAGTTAGCGCCTCGCTAAATTGCGGAGGCTGGCTTTGAACTCCTGCCTCCGCCTCCCTAGCCGCTGGGATTACAGGTATATATATTTTTTATTGTTGTTGTTGTCGTTGATTAACCTTTATTTTATTTATAGGCGGTGCTGAGAATCGAACCCTCACACATGCTAGACAAGCGTTCTACCACTGAGCTATAACCTCCACCCCCACCTTTTTTTCCCCTTAAACACCTTTATTATTTTATTCTTTTAAAAAAGGTTTGAACGGGGCACGTAGACCATGCCTGTAATCCCAGATGCTGGGGAGGCTGAGGCAAGAAGATTGCAAATAGAGGCCAGCCTCAGCATCTTAGCAAGGCCCTGAGCAATTTAGAGAGACCCTGTCTCAAAATTAAAAAAAAAGAAAAGAAAAGAAAAGAGGTTTGAAGCTGGGAGCAATAATGGTGCAGGCCTGTAATCCCGGGGACTCGGGAAGCTGAGGGAAGAGTATTACAAGTTCAAGGCCAGCCTGGAAAACTTAATGAGGCCGTGTCTCAAAATAAAAACCAAAAAGGGCTGCGAATGTAGCTCAGTGGTTGTTTGCCTGGGTTCATTCCCCAGGACTGCAATAAATAAGTAAATAAAATAGAAGAGTTGGTTTATACAGAGTAAAATTCACGGTGTTGGCAGTGTGAGTTGTGCAACCACCTCTGCAACCCAGGTGCAAAACACTCTTCCACCCACGTGTGTGTGTGTGTGTGTGTGTGTGTGTGTGTGTGTTTGGGGTGGATCGGAATGTCCTCCAAGCTGGTGTGCTGAAGGCGTGGTCCTCAGTGCTGCAGTGTCCTGAGGTGAGCCTTCAGGGGGTCACGGGATCAGGAGGTCAGAGCTCACACTGATGGGTGCTTAGTAGACTACTGGGCTGTAGCAAGGCTGTACATCACGTCACTGGATGTGTGCCCTGCAAGGGTACTTTTTGCTGGGGCTCCTGCTCCCTCCCTCGCACTCCCTCTCCTCCCTCTCCTCAGGCCCAACACACTGCAGCCAGCCAGCCATGGTGGAGAGCTCTGAAGCTGAGCTACAACAGAAGTTGTTATTCTTGGGTATTTGTCACGGTGATGAAAAGCTGACTTAGAACTATACCTCCTCACTGCCAAACCCTCCCCGCCCTCAGGCCCTATGGTCGCACAGCTTCAAGGTCATGGTGTAGCCTTGGGCGTGGTTCTCCCAGGACGGCTGGCTCCCTGCTCCTGGCAGCAGTGCTCAAGCCTCAGGCAAGCCCCGCTGTCACCTTGTTCTTCAACCTTAGGACCCAGCCTCAATCCCAGCACTGCCACTGAAGCAGGGGCTCTAGACTTGCTCAGACTGAGCGGAGGTGGCTTCTGTTTGGGTGAGTGCTGGGAGGGGCTTGTAGGTCCAGTACTGGGTGCTTGTAAGCTACCAGAATGTTCCACAAGCTTGCAGCTCCACACTCCTGCAGCCCTCTGGGCCCCGTGCTGCCAGGGTTCCTCCTCTACAGTCCCAGTGACAGGCAGGTCGTGGGAGCCCACACAGCCTTCAGGACCCTTCCTGATGATCAGGGGCGTCGAGAATCCACTCCCGACACGTGCGCCTTGTGTTCACACAGATCCTTTGGGGACCTATCTGTTCACATATTCTGTTCACTTTGTAATGTGAGTCCTTTTTCTCAATTTTGAGTGTTCCTTACAAGGTCTTTGTATCAGTCCTTCATAGGAGACAGGTGACCTGAAAATATCTTCTCTGTCTCTGTTCATTCCCTTAACTGTCAAAAGAAAAGTTTTGTTTTTGTGTTTTCTTGGTAGGTAGTAGAAATTGAACCCTCATGTATGCAAGGCAAGTGCTCTGCCACTGACCCACAACCCCAGCCCTTTTATTTTGAAACAGAGTTTAAGTTGCTGGGGGTCTTGCTAAATTGCCTGGGTTCCTTCGCCTTAACCTCCCAAGTAGCTAGGATTACAGGTGTGTACCACAACACCTGGCTGAAGAGTTTTTTTTTTAATCATTCTTTTTTCAAATATTTATTTATTTTATGTACACAATGCCTTTATTTTATTTTTATGTGGTGCTGAGAATCGAACCCAGGGCCTTGCACACACTGAGTGCTCTACTGCTGAGCCACAACCCCAGCCCCAAGTTGTTTTTTTTTTTTAAACTTTAGTAATAAAGTCCTTTTTCTATCTCATAACACTATTGCTTAACCAAACCACAGAAACTTCTGTTTTCTTCTGGAAGCTTGACAGTTTTGCTTCATGTTGAGACCTATGGCTCCGTTTAAGCTACAGGTAAGGTGTGAGGTATGGGCCAAGATTTGTTTTTTACTCCTTTTTCCACATGCAGATGTCTGCTGTTTAGCACTGTCTTAAAGGCTGCCCCTTCTTCAGGGCCAGTCACTTTTGCAGAAGACGGATGGTCCACATGTGCTGGTCCATTGGTCAGCATCTACCTTGTCGCCAACACCAGCCTCACATGTGCTGAGATCAGTTACTGGTGTGTTCTTATTCAAGATCACCTGTTATTCTAACTCCTTTGATTTTCACTGTTTGTCACTATATCTTAAAAAACCCAGCAGCGGGACCTGGGGCACAGCTCAGTGGTAGAGTACTTGCTTGGCAGGTGAGTCCCTGGGTTCCACCCCGGCTGAGACTTGACAGGTCACCTGAAGCCTGCAGGTCTCTGGTTCAGAAGCAGGGATCCCTCCGTCGGTGCTCCTACTCATCTCCTCTGCTGGCCCTCGCATCCCGGGCAGAGTGATGTGACCACCACCAGGATCGAGGTGTGAATGGACACAGTAAGGTTAGTGGCAAGATGGGGCCTAAGAAATCCTCAGAGTGAGCGGGACGGGGTGATGCACACCTGTAATCCCAATAGCTCGGAAGGCTGAGGCAGGAGGATGGCGAGTTCAAAGCCAGCCTCAGCAACTTAAGCAACTCAGGGAGACCCTGTCTTTAAATAAAATATAAATAAGGGCTGGGGATGTGGTTCAGTGGTTGAGTACCCCTGAATTTGATCCCTGATAACCCCCCAAAAAAAGAAATCCTCAAAGTGTGTTCTTACTAATGGTGTCTTCACTAAAATGTACACATGCAGAAGAAAGGGGGAAAAGTGGCCCAACTGCATATAAACAGTAGTGTTTTTATTCAGAGTGTAGACCCCAGCACTCTGGCAGCTCTCGTGGGGTGGGCAGGAGCACTCCACTTCTCCCATGCAGTCTGCAGGAGGCAGCTGGGGCCAAGGGGAGCAGCACGGGCCTGGGGCAGGGCACCCAGGAACCAGGCCTGCTGCACCCATGGGCACCACACCAGCCTCACCAGCACCCAATCCCACAAGGCAGTGGGCTCTGGCCACTGTGGCCTGAGAAGGATCTGAGGTCGGGACCAAAACAAAGTAAGAACCAAGCTGCTGCTCCCAAGTTCAACCCTTGACTCTGAAGGCAGGGCTGCTTCTGGACCCCAAGGCCAGCACCTGAAACCCTGTCTGCCACTACAGGAATTCAAGCCCAAGTTGCCAGCATCCAGCCAAGGAGGCAGATGGACAAGACTGAGATAGCCCTGGGGTCCTCTTCTCTGGTCAGGTTGCCTGGAGACTGGCCAGTAGCCTTCAGGAAGCATTAATTTGCAGATGCACTGGCCAAAACCCCAAGACAACAGGTGGCCCCCAGCCACCCAGACCCTTGAGAAGGCATGTGTGGGTCCTATCCTGCAGAGGCATGGCTGGGGAACTGGCCTGGAGGGCAGGTGTCACAGATGACTCATGGGGGCACCAGAAAAACCTGCTCTTCAGCACGTGCGCCCTGTCCTGGCTGGTCTGGGGCATGCAGAGGTGCCGCACAGGCTCCATTAGTGGCTGTCCACACCAAGGCCCCAGTGGGTGAGGGTGAGAGGCCAGAAAGGTGCAAGGAAACTGCCAGCAGACCCCTAGGAGAACCATGCCTTGACGGGCAAAAGGCCACAGGGTCCTGGGAGCCACCAGCTGAGAACAAGGAAACCAGATGCCAGGTCCACCTGGTCACACATTTAAGAACGGGAAAGCTGAGGGCTCGGAGCCCACAGGCTCTGCAACCATTGCCTTCTGGGCCCGTGCCTGGGGAGGCTGGGCTGGGTGGGGCGCCTCTATAGAAGCCCTGGTGCCACCCAGGTGGGGGCAGGCCACCAGCTCCATGCCAGCAAACAAGGAGCCACGACAGCGACTGGGGCCTCTGTTTGGGGTGTCTGGGCCCTGCTCTCTAGACACTGCCAGAGAAGTTTCAGCCTCATTGGTGTCTCCAGGGATTGGGAGGGGACAGGAGTCCAGGGGTGGGGAGGGCACAGGGCTCCTAAGCAAGGCTGGGGTGGAGCTCAGCGGTTGGAGGAAGGCCTGGCCCCCCGGGGGAGGCGAGGGGC